CGAGTCCCCAGCCCTGGGGGGATTTAACAGCCGGGCAGAGGCGGTGCTGAGGGCCAGGGTTTGGGGGTGGGATGGCAGGGTTTATGGTTGGACTCAGTGGTCCTAGTGGTCTTTTCCAGCCTAAGTGATTCTCTGATTCTATGAATATCAGACCTATTCTCCCCTTTTTCCATCACTGTATCTAGCTGCTCTTTGTTTTGTCATCTCTGTTTTAAACTATTTAAAAAAAACCCCAAACAACCAGAAAACCAACACGTGTCCCACCCCCCAGAGAGCTGTGGAACGACTGCTGTTCTCTTTCATTTTTCAGCTGAAGTCTTTCAGCGTGGTAGCTCTGTCTCCTGCTCCACAGTACAGCAGCAACCTATGGAAGTTGAACAAATCTGTGTTTAGTGCCTTCAGACTTCTAACTGCTGTCATCTCCAACTCGCTTGGAGGATGCCCTGTGACAGCTCCACTGTAGGTGAAGGGACAGGACGTATGGAGTGGCAGTGTTTGATTAAAATGGGCTGAGAGAAGGCAATAGAGAGGAAGGTTTGGGATTTCTTAGGGAGAGCTAAGATGTCCCTGCCAGTGCCTCATGTCCCAATATGCTTTGCTTATGACTTACTGCCTTTTCTTCTACTTCGGTGTGAACGTAGGAATGTGCATGTGCTATTCCCAGCTTTGCAGGCAGGCTCCTGACTCCTTACGTGGATGAAGGTCAATGCTGTGCCGAGCGGCGGCGTATGAGCGGGATGTGGCTTCTGAGACACATATACAGTATTTATTTATACTGAAACTTTAAAATTCAGGGCTTTGTGGTCAGTATGAGCGCAGTCGGCTGTGCTTTCTTGCTTCACTTAGAATAGTGTTCTACAATTAATCCATTTCAACCTACCTTATGCTCAGAAAATAATTGCGTAAAGCCTCTTAATTCTCCACAAGATGAGCGTCTTTTAAACAGTTCTTGAGTATCTGTGAGCAGCTCATGCTTCCTTCATCTCAGTTGGATCTGTCTGCCCTTTGACTTTTGATTAGTCCTGTTGCAAGTCATTAACAATGAGGTTGCGTGTGGTTTAGGGAAAAGCTGTATTTCAAGTGCAAAAGCAGGGATGCTTTCCAAGAAGGCTTTTGGGTACGGTTTCGGGTAGAACACTTCTGCCCTGTGATTTAAGGCTCTCACGGGATATACCTGTTCCTGGGGGGTGATATTTAAAGACTTGCGGCCGTGCAAAGTTGCGTAGTTAAATGGTAAGGAGTTTTTTCAGAATAACTTGGCTGAAGTATGTGGGATTACTGCTCCTTGGCATTTTAAAAATTGTGCCAATACTAATGGCCAGAGGGGAGGGAAGCGGGCGGGCTGACTTCTACAGGTGTCTTCAGCTGCACTGAAACTCTAATTCAATATCTTTTTTTTTTCTTCTCTCCCTAGTACTTTTGTCCATCTGTTCTCTGTTGTGTGATCCCAATCCAGATGATCCTTTAGTGCCTGAGATTGCACGGATCTACAAAACAGATAGAGAAAAGTGAGTATGGAAGCCAAAACCCATGTAATGTTCTTGACAGAGCAGAATCCACGCTTAAATAGTAAAGGGGAACTGGAAGGACCCGCTTCTTGGAAAAGAGTGTGAACTTTTGTTTTGCCTTTTTCACTTGAACTGTGGCCTTTCTGGGGATTTTTCCTGGGATCTGTAGCACAGCATCTTTAACAGCATTGCATTGCTGTAGGAAAAAGGTACATAGGCCAGTAGAAGTGAAGGATGTAGAGGCCTTGTACTTCTGTGGTTTTATTACTGCATTTTGATTCCACACAGTGGTCTTTCGTTAGTGTTGTAGCTGTTAATGACAGGTTTGCTTGATTTAATGAAAATGTGCAATGAACAAGGCAAATCTGTCCTGTGTGGAGCCCCTAGGTTGGATGGGACCAGCTTTTCAGAGCCTTCACTGCCTGCTTTAATTCTACGAGACCAGCAGAGGGCGAGCAAGTTACTCCAGTGGGAGAGTATTTCTCTGCTAGCTGGTGGTGGAGGCATCGTACAAGCAAAGAAACCACAAAATACCCGTTTCATCTTCGTTTGGCAACACAAGGGAAGAACAAGTGGTGTAGAGGTGGGGTGGGAGGACTCCAAGCTCCTGTGAAGTAAATGGCAAGAATGGAGAGAACTTTATCACTAACGACACTTTAAAAGCAACAGCTTTAACGACCGCTGTAAACACTCCTCTACCTTGCTGTTCCCTTCAGATCCGATCAGTAGTGTTAATTTCTGAAGCTACATGGTCGTCTGATGAGAACAAGACAGGAAGGGAAAGTGATCCCCAAACTTGCTTACCCTACTGCGTACTGGAGGAGCAGTGTTAGAGAAGTTCATGCCTCCTGTTTTTAATGAGAGCTGCAGGAGCAGCAGCACGTATTTTGAGACGCAGCACTTCCGTGACTGGCTGCATTTAATGCATGCAGGACTCCTTCCTATTTTTATTCCAAAAGTAGGTGACTGGACTCTCTTCTTGAGTAGTCTTAGAACAGCAAAGTAACAAATGCTCTTGCCCTCCTGAGTGGCTTGTCAGATTGTTTAAGCCAAAGAACGCTGTCTACAGACTAAATTCCAGCATGAGAACCTAGCTGTTGTACAGAACTAGGGAGCTTCTTGCTAGAAGTGGCTCATGCTTGTTGTACAAACTCTGCAGAACAAGGACTTGCCTTCTGCTGTCAGAAATAAGCTTTTATCAGCACAGTCACGGGGACTGCTTTGTTTTACATGAGCATCCTGAGCTTCCTCTAGCAGTGGCTCGGCTATAAAGGGTATTTGGGTGCAAAAGCTACAGGTGGCTTGGGAAAAGGAGTGTATTGTGCCTTCAGAAAAAAGAAAATTCTGGTGGACGAATGGTTGTGTCCTGATAGTCAGCGAAATAGGCAAAGGCAACGTGTAGCACGAAACAAGCCTGTCAGGGTTCGGCAGCCCAGTAGATACCAGGTACCTAGATTAGCTTTTTCTAAGGTACGAACAGGAATGGGGTGGGAGGGAAACATGAATTATTTTTTTTTTCTAGAATACCAAAATTAAAACCTGCAGTAATTTCCCCGGGGCTGCAGCAGTTAGGGAGGGGCTGGGGGAGGTGCAGGTAAAGGTTTCCTGAAAATACTTTCCCCTTAGACCTGTGCCAGCTGTGTTTTGTGGCTCGAATCGCAAAGGTCTCGTATGCCTGCTGTGAATATGACTGGTTACTGTTTTCCATGAAGTACTGCGGGCTTTTTTGTTCCCCCCCTTTGCCCAGTATTTGGGTTTGCTCTTAAATTTTACAAATTCATGATACTGCTAGAGAGAATGTAAGTTCATGCCATGGGTAGGTTAGGCTGCTGGCGTGGAAATGCTGTTTGGATGTCATGTTAAGTAAACCCTCTCTTTATACATGCAGGTACAACAGAATAGCTCGGGAATGGACTCAGAAGTATGCGATGTAATTAAGAAATTATTGGATAACCTCTACAAATAAAGATAGGGGAACTCTGAAAGAGAAAGTCCTTTTGATTTCCATTTGACTGCTTTCTATGAGCCCACGCCTCATCTTCCCCTGTGCACATGTTTACCTGATACAGCAGTGCTGCGTGTTGTACATACTTGGAACAACAAAATAGAAATACTGTATTCCCCGTACCAACATTGACTCCTAGCAGAGAAGTGTGTGTGTGAAAAGCTGGTTCTTCAGTCATAACTTTGTGAGCCTAAAAGCATTCCTTGTTGATTTAAATTGGGTAATAAAACATGAAGGGGACGAGTTGATGGTGGATTTCCTATTTCTAGGGACAGTGTTGCCGATCCGTGAAGGATTTTAAATGGAATCCTTTTAAACTCATAACAGTTATGAAAAGCAAGGTGAAGAACTTGAAGCTGTTTCTGTATTCATTTTATTCTGAAGGACCTACACCTTAGGTAAATGTTATGACCAATGAGATAAACTGTACCCACATCCTGTGTCTAAGGTCTAAGTTTAACCGGTCAACACTTAAATGGATTGGAGCTATTAGTGCATCAAGTGATGTTGATTTGTTTCAACTCTCTCCCCTCCTTCATACTTTTTTTTTTTTGGTTTGTATGTGGTTTCTCAGTTAATACATAGCTAATAGCTCTTGTTTTTCTTAGGTTTTTTAACTGCTTAGGTCTTTCTGGATGTAAGGGTAAAAAAAAAAAAAAATCCATTTGACAGAAAACTTGTGTATATTTAAAGACCCAACTGCTCCCCTGGAGCTTGTACGTTCAAGAATGATTAATCTGTGTAATAAACTGATTACTACAGTCATTACATATAACTTTGTGTGAATAGGCTTTTAATTTTAAGAGCAGTTTGTTACAGGCTAAAACTAACGGTGGATTTCTCGAACACTTTAGCATTCACGAAGGGTTGCGTTTGGAAGTCCTGAAGCGGTTTGGTTTGCGTCACACGAGGCCATGCACCTGAACAAGACCACCCTAAGCTTAAGCACTTACATGAAGTCAGGATGTGTAGTGTGCCAGGAGCTCGACTGTTAAACCAAATAAGCAGTTTACTAAATGAGAATCTGAGTGACATTTTACAAAGCCTAACGGTATTATTCCCACTTGCATGGGACCTAACACAATGCGTATGTACTGTAGGTAAGTGAAACCTTATGTAACTGAAATAATGGATGTAAAAGGGTAAAAAAAAAAAAAAAAAAAAAACCAAGAAAAAAACCAACCCTACCAAACACATCAGCACAAACTTTCATACAAATGTAGCTTTTACATAATTACTTTGCACTAAACATTTGCAAATGTTCATACAGTTTTAAATTGTACTTGTATGTGTCTTTTTTTGAACAAAGTCTTCACTTGAATCTAGTGAAAAATGTAGTTTGAAACTTTCCTTTGTATACAAGTGTATTTGCCAGCATCGTTGGTGTGAACTAGGTGAGTCTGCAAGTTTATCTCCTCTTAGTAGAATTGTAAACAAAGCCATTGACTACGCAGGAGAGGCTGGGGGGCCCCGCGCTCCACAGGTCTGTCCCGTCCATTTTCCAATGCATCTTTACACTCTTGCACAAATGAGGAATAAATGTCCACTGCTTTTGGTCTAAATCTGTTCCTCTTGTCTCATCTCTCGATGTCCTCGTGTGTGCAGCGCTGGATGTAGATGTGAGCAGTGTTTCTTGGAGTCTTCCTACGGCGAGCTGTGGGCCGAGCCGGTGCACGCCTGCCTCTCCGGCAGGCACGAAGATGTGACGCCACCGCACGGGGACGAAGCGGCCCTCGAGCGGTGGAGCAGAGCTTCACTGGCAAAGAAACGGAGCGTGGGGCCACGTGCCCTGGCTGAGCGACCGCGTAGGGATGGCGGCGCCTGGGGAGGGGGGGCGCAGTGTGCAGGAGGATGAGCTTGGCTGTTGGGTCAGCGTAAGCTCTCGGTGCTCTTGCCTTGTGCCACAGGGTCTCGGTGTCTTTGCTGGTTTAGAACGTGGTCTGTAGCCTTGGGCTAAAACTTGTTGCCTTGTTAAATCTGAGCGTAAGCTGGTGGCTGCTAGTGCAGTGTGGCTGTGTTAACCTTCCACCCTGTCTGGCCTTACCCCTTGCTAAACTTGTAATGAGCAGGCTCAGGCTCCTGCTAGAGATCCCCCATGACCAAGGAGACCTCAGCCCTGGTGGAGTCGTCCTCCTGTGTTTCTGCGGTGGGGTCACCGGGAAGTTGCTTCCCGAGACAAGCATGGGGAAGGGAATGGCTACAAACTTTTTTTTTTTTGGGGGGGGGGATTTCCCCCCAACTGCTTTACAAGTGAGCTGCCCAAGAGTGATTTTTGTGGCAGATGGGCTGGTTTGGCATTGGCAGTTACTGGAAGAGGGCAGAGGCCTGTCCAGGAGAGGAAGAGGAGGCAGCAGTGACATGTGGGAGCTGAGGAGGAGGATTTGCCTTTCGGCTGGGGGACAGGGAAGTAACGCAGCCACGCCTGGGCTGACACGGAGCCCCGAGTGTTGTAACTTCGGCTTGGATACGGCATGAAGGCGTCTGCCTGCCTTGGGACGGTCGTCTCGTACTCGTGGATCCGAGTTCCCCGCTGGCGGCGTGACAGGAGTTGTGGTACAGAGAAAGCGAGGCTGGCGATGGGGGCCCGTGTGCTCTCCCTCGCGGGGGCGCCCTGCTCGTTGTCGGTAAAGGAGCCTTTTTCTCTAGGATTTGACATAAAACGTGATCCAGCTCAGCCTTTTGTGGACTAGAAGCTTGTTCTTTTGAAACCCTGTGTCTTACACACTCAACCAGCACAAGGAGTCAGGGGCTCTGGTCGTTGCCCTTCTAGGAACGCTGAACTCGCCAGGTCAGGAACTTTTTCAGCCCTTGTCTGACTTCGTGTTTTATTTTCTTTAGTATTTTAAGTTGACTGCTTCCCTTTGCATGGCTTTCCTTGCGCTGGGACTGCTATGGATGCAGGCTGTGGATGCAATTCCCTTTTTTTTCTGTTATGTGCTAAGCAAGTGCGTTTTATTTTTAAAAAAAATAATATTAGATAATAAATGCCGGGCTGCTTAGATTCCTCCAGCTCCGGCGATGCTGTAAAGCCGGAACGCTGTGACTGGCCGCGTTGCTCGTGCTGGTCTGCGCCCATCCGCTGCAAGGAGTGAAGCAGAAGGCAGGCGAGTTAGGTTTGGTGGGCGCTCGTACCCGTGTAGCTCCTGGGGCGCTGCGGCTGGGCGGCTCCCGCTCCGCAGGGCCCTGCTGTAGCCCGTGTTGCCGTAACGGGACTTGGCAGGGGCTGTTTGTGTGCCGTGCTTGTGTACGAGAGAGCAAACGGGTTTCAGAAACGCCGCTAGCTCCGTCCCCAGCGCGGGAGCTGCCGGCTGAAACCTCGCCAGGGCTTAGAGTCCAGCAGCCGTGCGCCTGCGGGCTGGGATGGAGACCCGATGGCTGTGCCTGAAACACCGAGCTTGTCCTCTGGTCCCGTGTGCGCTGCCTTTCTGCAAGAGCCTTTTGGGAACACAAGAGTGATTTATTTTTGTTTGTTTCTGTGGTTTTTTGTGTGTTTTTACCTTGCTGCGCTCGTGCTTTCAGGGGAGCTGCGTCCTGAAGTGTTCACAGGCTTTTCTGTTGGGTCTGCACACGTCGGATGGTGTAGGAGAAACGCTGGCACTAAGTGGGATGTGATCTTGCGTCCCTAGCGCGTCTCAGTAAAGCAAACTGTGGCCTGGTCCTTGTCCCTGGAGGCCGTGGCTTTTGGTAGCTGCTGCCCCATGCCCGGCTGCGTTTGCCGACGGTCTTGGGCACCTCTTTGCTATTCACAGCAGCAAAATGGCTCTGGACCTGTCCCCAGCTCTGATGTAGGGTAAAAGATCAGAAGCCTAAAGGGAGGACAGAGGGAAGGGCTTTACCTGGTTGAAGATGGTTTTCCTCGTGCCCTGAGCAGCTCTTGCCGGGGGGAGCGTGGCAGGAGGCCTGGGCACGTGGGAGGTGCAGAAGAAAACTGCTCAAAGGGGTTGAAAGCTGCTTGTGTGTCACCTTGCTCTGAAGAACCAGGACAGCGTAACAAAACCTCTCCAAAGAGGCTCAGCACCTCCACTCCAGCCGGAGGAGCCCCTGGGCCCCAGGCAGAGCTTGGAAGCCACCTCCTGCAGGAATGAAGGCCCCTGGGTGTATTTGGGTAGCAGGAAGGCCGTCCACTTTGCCAAACCTTGGAGCAGCCTTGTGTCACCCCTCCAGCGCTGGGAGGCCTGCCTCGGTCTCCTACAGATCGCCAGGGAAGTTTCATCCCCCCCTTGGTTGCTGTTTCCTTCCATTCCTTAGCTCCTTTGTGTAGACTTAGATCTGTGGTCAAAGTTGGGAACCTTGGTTGGTTGGGGGGGTTTGGCAGGCGCCATTTCCTACAGGGAATGTGCAGGGACAAGAAGTTGTGTTGGGGGCACCTGATGGAAGGTTAAAAACAGGGAGAAAAAACCCCCCAAACCCTGCTGTCCAGCTTTTCTGGGTGCCTGGAGACCAAGCCCCGCATGAGAACCAGCGAGAGGAGGCTTTGGGAGGGATCCTGCAGCCGCTGCCCCTGCCCTCGCCTGGGGCTGTGCTGGCGCTGCCCCTGCTGCCGTCGCCTGTTGCCGCTCCATCACCATTCATTAAGTCCCTTAAACTTGCTGTGGCTTGATTGCTTTTTTTTTTTTTTTTTTGCTTTACCTGTGCCTTTTACCCATTTTTTGACTCATTTTGGTTTTTTTTCTCATGTGGCTGCGCTCTCCCTTCTCCTCGATGATCCAGTTCTCCCCAATGATCCAGTTCTGCGTTGTCATCTGCTCAGTCGCCTTCATCTTGGGTTTTTCCTTTTAACGTCCTGCAGAGCCTGGCTTTGCTCTCCGAACGTGGCCATGTGGAGCAGCCTCGGTGGTCTTGTGCGTTCTCACCAAGCCTGGCGCCGCCCTCCTGCTGGGAGCTGTGATTTAATAGCGCTTCGGTAGCAATCTAATCCCCACGGCTCGCGATCTGCCCTCATGCCTTGCTCTTCCACCAGTTTGGCATCTGCAGGTTTGGTTCTGTGCTTGTGCTTCTCAGCGTCGCCCACTCTCCTTCCCTGCGTGAGAATCTCTGGTGTTTGTCGCGTGGTTGGGTCAAAGCAGCGCTGGGTGTGCGGGGATCGGACGTATTTGCCCTTCTTGTCCTTTCATGAGCAAACGTCTTGATAACGAGGCCTCTGTGGATAAATCCCTCGCCGAGTCGCTTGGTGAGCAATTTATTGGTGAGTTTTACCTCGGCGAGTTGCTCAGCTGCGTGCGTTTCGTCCTCACCCCCACCCATGGGGAAAAGCTGTTCCGCTCCCGTTGATGGAAGCTCTTGCTGGCCTGGAGCTTCTTGCAGGTGGAAGCTGGATCTGCTGAGCCTGCGGAGCAGGTTCAGGGTGGAATTGCAAAGGATGGGGCTGAAGGACCAAGTCACGGGGTGTTGATGCAACTTGGCGTTGTGAGTAAGCTGGGAACTCACGTTCCTTTGGTCGCTGCAAGCACCGGTGCCGGTTCTCAGGCTCTGCGCTGCCTTCCCACGCAAGGGAGAGCACGTTCGTCGGCGCTGGAAGCCCGGCTAGACCCTGTCCGTTCTCCAGTGGTGACCAAAATTGAAGGCCGATGGGAGAGGACGGGGCAGGATGGGTAGCTGTGGTGCTTGGTGGGCACTCGCGCCCAGCCCGGGGGGGCCGTGGGTTCTGTAACCGCTCGGGTTCTCCTGGGAGGACTCCTGTGAACGTGTCCCCGCTGCCCTCGCGCTCTTGTAATCCCTTGCTGTTCGTCCATCTTCGGTCCTGTCGGTGCGAGGTGGTTTGGTGGTACTGGTGGTGACTGGAGGGTTTGGGGGAGGCAGGGAACAGTCAGGGGGAACTTGGATGGCTTGGAACAGCGTCGCCGGTTAGAGCCGGTGTGAGAACAGAGCTGCTGTTGAACTGCTGCCCTAGCAAACCCTTCGGTGTGCGACGATCGTGATAGGAATGTGTTTGCTTCTTAGCTGAAGGTAAAGGCGGAGGGAGCAGCTTCCAAAGCCCGATGGAGGGCAGCCTGCGCCGCCCCTGCCCCGCTCCGAGGGCCTGCTCTGCTTCACCACCTTTTCAGTCTCGAGAAGAGCGAATTCACCGCCCAGGAAGACTGAACGTTTTGTAGGGCTCTTTTCTTGCTGGTCTTGGACTTTTTTTTTTTTTCAGAAGACCATCTGGTTTTGGGGGTTTCTTGGGGGGGTGGCTGGGTTGTGGTTGTGG